TCATAAAGTTTTATAGTTCCACCTTAAGTCATGGAATCTCCTTTATATTTATATTTGGGAAGGTGGCATTATGGTCAATACTAGATTATAAAGGAGGAAAGCAAACAGTTTATCAACACTGACTGACAGTTTTCAAGAGCTATTGTATCACATTGGTCTGTGATAACCACATCGGAAGCTCTCAATATGAATGATGAATTCAGAGATATTTTTAATAAACTTGCATACTTCTAGTACATTATAGCTTAGGAGACACACTCACATGTAATATACCTTTAAATTTATGTATAAAAGATTTACTTCTTACAAGTTTTTTCTCTTAGACACATCATAAACCTCATCTATATGTAAAGTAGGTAGAAAACAAAAAGATAAATAAGTCATAGTATTCCTATCCATACAGAGCTCTACTCGGAGAAGCAAATATACTAAGATCCATACAGTATAAAGCACAATATGGTAAGTGCCAATAGAGGAATAGGGATAAGATGATATTGTGGTGCTTGACTATAGCTATAGGACTGGGAAGGCTCTCTTAGAGAAGGCAGGATTTAAGCTTCACCTTATAGGGCATGATAGAAGAAGAGACAGAAGGCCAAAGGTTCTCTAACTCAGTGGTATAGCCTGAGCCAAGGCATAACAGTATGGAAATGAAGAACATAAATATTTATTTGTGTTCCATCAACTTTAATGTCTGGTGCTATAGAACCAGAGTATATCAGTGTTAACCTGTTTTACTCATAACTTATAATTTGGCTATTACCTGGAGACAGTTTTCACCAACCACAAGTACATGTGTTCGTGGGAGCTATAAACTCTATGAACTCTACCCTTCATTAACGAGAGCGTATTTGCATCCTTGAAACAGACAGATCATTTATAAATTTATGCTACTATTTATTTCTTTTTAGTGCTTTAGTGATGTCTGAAGCACATTCATATATATTACCCAATTAAATCTTTCCAAAATCCTATGTCATAGATGGTGGTAAGCCGTTATTATGAGCTTCTTTTCTTAGGAGAGAACTGAAACAAAAATGTTTAAATGACTTTTTCCAGGTTCACTTGGGAATAAATGTGAACCACGTGCAATTTAGAACTCATTCTTCTTCCTATATACCTATATAATTGTCACTGCGTATATGTCCAAACAATTGATATGTGTCTGTTTTTGAGTGTAAGAAATTGAGAAAATTAAAATGGACGAAGAAGCCACATCCAAAATTAGTTATTTTGATGAGATAATTCTAGGTGCACAGAATTGAGGACAAAGGTATAAGTGGTATGGAGAGCTGTTTTCAGGCAGGATTTAATGGAAGGAAGGTCAATATACAAATTAAATGAAAATACAAATTAAATTAAATATACAAATATACAAATTAAATGAAAAAAGGGAAGGTTTTACTATTATTAAACAAAATTAAAGATGTCAAGTCTTAAAATAGGGCAGTTTATGTTTTCTGTAGTGAGAGCTGATTCTTTTTTTTTTTAAATATTTTTTTGTTTCAGCGTATTACGGGAGTACAAATGTTTAGGTTACATATGTTGCCTTTGCCCCACCCAAGTCAGAGCTTCAAGCCTGTCCATTTCCCAGACGGTGCCCACTGCACCCATTAGGTGTGAACATACCCATCCCCTTCTCCCTGCTCCTCCCTGCCTGACACCCGATGAATGTTAGCTGATTCTTTATATACCGCCAGACTGCAGTGAGTGGGGACTTGTGAACCTACTATTAGGTCATTAAATATGAAATGTCCAGTTTCGAATCAAAAGTGTAGTTAATTATACCTCAAGCAACAAGTACAATTAATCAAAGTATGCACCTAAATTATTGACACAGTTTTGCCATCTCGACAGTAGCTTCTTTATGCCAGCAACGAAGAAGCCTGGAGGAGAGTGAGTGGCAATGAAATCGCGAAAGGCATTTTCCATAGCTTGTTGAGAATTGAGAGTTTTTCCTTGCAAGAAGTGATCCAAAGCCTGGAAGAAATTGTAGTCAGTTGGTGCAAGGTCTGGTGAGTACAGTGGGTGACAAGACAGTTTCCAAGTCCCGCTTCTGTAATTTGAGCAGTGTTGTTTGTGTGACATGTGGTGGAGCGTTGTCTTGCACGAGGATTGGCCTGTCTCTATTAACCAATCTTCGCTCCTCAAGCATCCTCATCATTTCATCCCATTGGTTGTAGTACACATCTGCTGTAATTGATTGACCAGGTTTCATGAAGCTGTAGTGGATAATACCAACACTGGACTACCAAACAGACACCATTAGTTTTTTTGATGAATATTTAGTTTTGGACTGTGTTTCTGCAATTCATCTTAATCCAACCATTGTGCTGAATGCTTGAGATTGTCAAAAAGAATCCATTGTCATCACACCTAACAATACAGTGTGGGAATGCTTCACTTTTATGTCGTGACAGCAAAGAAAAGCAAGCTTCCAGATGATTTCTCTTCTGACGCTCGTTTAATTCACATGGAACCCATCTATCCGGCTTCTTCTTTACCTTGCCAATTGTTTCAAATGGCCCAATATTGTTGGAATAATTAACGTCAAACCTTGCTGCAAAACCATGAACAAGTTGAGATGGATTCACTTCCACTACAGCTTTTAGTTCATCATTATCCACCTTGGTCTCAGGTCGTCCAAATGGCTAATTTTTAAGATTAAAATCACCAGAATGGAACTTCTCAAACCATCAACGTACTGTGTGTTCATTAACCACATCCTTCCCAAACACCTAGTTGATATTTCGAGCTATCTGTGCTGCATTGGTTCTATGATGGATTCATATTTCAAAATAATGCAGATTTTGACTTATCCATGGTTTCACAAAAATTGCTCTAAAAATTTTTTTTGAAGGATAATCACAAGCCAAAATGTACGTTTGTAAGAATGAGGATGTATCCTCACAATAAACATAAAACAAGAAGTGTCAAAGTAAAATGTCAGAGATATAAACTGCCAAACTTAGTACTTAAAGAAATAGAACATTTCATACTTAATAACCCAATACTTCTTTCTATTCTTTAATAATCGTGTGGCTAGGTTGTCAAAAGAAGACCCAATTTAATCTTATATGCCATTCTGTGGTTTTGTATTTCCTTGTTCAATAACAATGAGTTTTCATTTTTTTACACTTTAAAATAGATTGAATATATGTTGAATTTCACCATGAAAAAGACTACTGATGTGAATATTCATTTTTATGACATGAGGTAAATGGATTTGTCTATAGACATTTTCTGTGGCTAAAGCACATGTCAAAATTCTTAAATTGAGTAAACTAATTCCTTTTTATTAAAAATGCATCATTGCTTATTACATGGAAAGCAGTATATTAAGTGGTTTAGGAGATTGACAGTGTCTTGTAGGGGTTATGAAAAATTATTTCTTTTATATTAATGAAAATCAAAATTGTAAATTAAAAATCGAGTATCTTAAAGCAGTGTGATATAGCATTTTATGTGATGCATTGAGCATCATTTATGCGTTGGAATAATTCACCCTTTTAACTTTTTTCAAGTTTTATTATATTTTTAATTGACACAAATTATACGTATTTATAGAGTACAGTGTGATGTTTTAATACATGTATACAATGTATAATGATCAAATCAGGGTAATCAGAAAATCCATCACCTCAAACATTTGTCATTTCTCTGTGGTAAAAACATTTAAAATCCTCTTTTCTATGCTGAAATATACAATACATAATTGTTAACTATAGTCACCCTCCAGTACAATAGAACACCAGAACTTATTCCGCCTATCTAACTGTAACTTTGCACTCTTTGACCAAGCTCTGTTCATCCCTCCTTCGCCGTACCCTCCCCAGCCTCTGGTAATCACTATTCTACTCTCTACTTCTATGAGATCAACTTTTTCAGATTCCACACAAGAGTGAGATCATGCAGTATTTTTCATTTTGCTCCTGGCTTATTTCACTTATCACAGTGTCCTACAGGTTCATTAATGTTGTTGCAAATGACAGGATTTTGTTATTTTTGTGGCTAAATAGTATTCCACTGAGTATATATTCCACATTTTCTTTATTCATTCAGTCATTGATAAACACTTAGGTTGATTCCATATCCTGGCTTTTGTTAATAATGCTGCAATAAACATGGGCATGCAGATATGTCTTCAAAATACTGACTTCATTTCCTTTGTATATGTACCTAGTAGTGGGATTGCTGGATCATATGGTAGTTCTAATTTGAATTTTTTGAGGAACTTCCATACTGTTGTCCATAATAGCTGAATTAATTTACATTTTAACCAACAGTGTGTGAGAGCTCCCTTTCCTCCACGTCATGCCAGCACATATTATCTTTTGTCTTTTTGGTAATAATCATTCTAACTAGAATGAAGTGATATCTCACTGTGGGTTTGGCTTGCATTTTCCTGATGGTTAGTGATGTAGAGCATGTTTTCATATACCTATTAGCCATTTGTATATCTTCTTTTGAAAAAAGTCTCTTCAGGTCTTTTGTCCATTTTAACTGGATTATTTTATTTATTTATTTATTTTTGCTATTGAATTGGTTGAGTTCCTTATATATTCTGGATATTAACCACTTTTCAGATGTACAGTTTGCAAATATGTTCTCCTATTCTGTAGGTTAGCTCTTCACTCTGTTGATTGTTTCTTTTGCTGTGCAGAAGCTATTTAGGTTGGTATAATCTCATCTATACATTTTTGTTTTTATTGCCTATTCTTATGAAGCTTTATCCAAAAAAATCCTTGTCCAGATTAATGTCACAAAGTATTTACCCTATGTATTTTTCTAGTGTTTTCATAGTTTTGGGTCCTATATTTAAGTCTTTACTCCACGTTGATTTTTTTTTTATATGGTGAGGGATAGGGGTCCAGTTTCATTCTTCTGCATGTTGTCTTGCCACTTTCAAGCTGTGAGACCTTGGACTGATCTCTTTATTTCTCTGTGTCTGGTTTAGAAATATTTTCCCTCATTTGGCTCCTTTTTTTCTCTCTATAGCTTAACCAGATGGAGAAAGCAGTGGAAGCAGCCCACACATTTTTCATGGCCAACCCTGAGCACATGGAAATGCAGCAGAACATCGAGAATTATAGAATGATGGCTGGGGTTGAAGCATTCCAACTGGTAGATCGAGAAGCCAAACCACATATGGTGAGCTCTGGGAACTCCTGTCCTTACGATTCTCACAGGGAGCTCTGTTCCATTCATTTCATATGAATGGATATCTCAAATTGAGTCTCAAATTCCAGTAACCTGTTTACACTTTCAGAGTTCTCGGATGAAATATTGTAATTATCACAGCTGACAAAATTAAGATAATTTTTTAAAGTTTTAATTAAATATTTAAAACTAAAATTAAAAAACTAAACAACTAAAAATTTAAGAATTGAGAGAAAACGGAAATTAACTTACAAAATCAGTATAAGGTTGTGAAAACTAGAACATCATAAAAATACCTGTAATCCTTGCTAGCCTCAGCTCCTCTCCAACACTTCTATTCCACACCTGGGAGTTGAAGCCAATGTGAATTTTTCAAGGTCACGCTGTGGTTTTCCAGTTCCCAGTCAGTGGTTTGTCCATTGTACCTTGTACTTTTCAAAGTGGGTTTTTAAAAAGCCACATAATTCTTTGTTTAGATGAGATGTTACTTGAAATCACATGTTGAAAGAGCTTTTTTCCGCCAATTTTGAACATCACCAGGCTCAATGTGCAGCCTCCAAACTCATTGCAGAGAATAGGAGAGGAAAATTTTATATGGAAGACATTTTTTTTTTAATTTGGCAAGGCCTGTCACTTCCACCCACACGTGTTGTCCTGCACTTGTTATGTTGCCCTACCTATGGGCAAAGAGATTAAAAAATATTGTCTTCTGTGTTCTGAGAAAGAAACGAAATTCATTGTTCCCATTGCACTCTACTTGCTAAGTAAGTCACCTCTTGTTTACAGTTATTTGAATCCAGGAAAGTTGCACTTTATCTCCTGGTACAATTCTTCTTTATTCCTCCACAGCACGGGAGTTCATACTCCACATACTTAAATGATCCCAAATCTGCCTATATTCTGCTCCTTGAAAATGCTTTTTTTTTTTTTTTTCTTCAGGAGAGTTATAATGCAGGAGTTAAACACTATGAGGCCGATGACTTTGAGGTGGCCATCAAGTACTTTGAACAAGCTTTAAGAGAATATTTCAATGAAGATATGGAATGCCGAACCCTATGTGAGGGGCCTCAGAGATTTGAAGAGTATGAGTATTTAGGATATAAAGGTGGTCTGTATGAAGCCATTGCAGGTAAAGCTTATTTTTTCCTTATATTTATTTCCTGATTATAAAAGTACTATATGCAATTTTAAAAGTATTCCAACAATATAGAAGTATATATTGTAAAAATGAAAGACTCTTATATGTCTATTTCACTCTATTTCCTATAGATAAATTTATGTAGTTAAAATTTTGGTGACTGTCCTCCCAAACTTTTCCAGATGAATATGCAAATATTGATGTATTTATTTAGAATTATTATTTCAATTGTTATAAAAATAGGACAATACTGTACACATTGTTTTTCAACTTTTTTATTTGTTTGTTTTATGCTTAACAATGTGTTGTGGACTTCTCATGTAAGTATATGTAGATTTACCATTTTGTATTTAATGGCTGGGTAATGTTCTATTATATGGGTATATCATAATTTATTTGACCAATTCTTTACTGGTGAATATTAAAGAGGTTGTAATTTTTCATTCTTATAAACAATGTAGTAGTGAATGCTTTTGTATAATCTTTATTTTAAAAAGTCTCTTATTATATAATGAAAATTTAATATGTTGCAAAGTAGAATTTAAAATAGTAGGTAGTATGCTTTATATTTATACAGTAATTGGGGAGATTGGCTAGTTAACCATTTTTAGGGGTGAAGTAATTTCTCTGCTATACATCATACACAAATTATATTTGTATTAACAATATAAATGTAAAAAAATTAAAATGTTAGAAGAAGATGCAAGAGGTTATTTGTATTAATATGATACTAGGAGAAGAAAGCTCTTCTAAGCATGACAAAAAACAAGAAAAAATGAAGAAAATTATAGACTTTACATGAGATTTATAAATACAAATTTATATAATAAACTAAGCTGATCTACAAATGACAAATAGAAAATTTTTATTGCAAAATATTTTATAGGCAAAGAGTTAATATTCTTCATATTTAAAAAGAGACTATAAATTATTATTAGTTATAGTAATTTACTTCCTAATTAGTAGTAATAATGATAACCAACATGTATGTGGCAGTTATAACACACAAAGCAGTTTAAATATTTACATCTCTTTTAAATCTCTAAACAGCTCCTCATAGATAAATACTATTGCTATTTACTCTCTTCTCCCTTTTTTAAATGAGCAATTTTTATCTCAGAAAGATTAAGTAATGTGACAATAGTGAAGCTGCAAATTGAATTTAGGCTTTCATGAATTTAATACCTATAGTTTTAATGCCTACATAATTGAAAAACAGGCAATTAATTTCTACAATAATATATGTTTAATAAATATTTCTTGAGCACATATTGTATTCCAAGTTTCTCATACATATATGAAAAACAATGTTCAATTTAATGTACGCATAAAAATGCACATTAATGAAGTCAGTTTGCTCTCCCCAACTTCCAATGTTTTCTGTCTCCCAAGAAAGCACTACTCACCTAGTAGCTCAAACCAAATCCCAGGAAGTTATCTTGCAATCCATCTTCCTCCATTTCTACTCTGATCTGATTTGTTACCCAACTTTATTAGTTGCTACCTGCTAATAGCACTTAAGACTTCCTGGCTCTTTCCATCCCTTTTGCTACCACCCACGCTCAAATTGACAGCTAATGCCTCCTTGCTGCTCCTCACGTCCTGTTCAGGTTTTTCTCAGAACACAGATAAAGCAGTATCTAAAAAACAAAATTCTGTTCGTAGACCTGCTTAAAACACTCCAGTGGTTTCCATTCCACTTAGAATTAAAACCATAACTAATAAGGATTTTATGACAGGGTACTTGTATATGTTTTCATCCCCCTTCTCTCCCCACCTACTGCACTTTCTTTTAATTCCTTGAATATGCCATGCTCATTTCCATTTGCAGATCTTCAAAATGTTGTTTTCCTCTATCGTATGCCTAAAGCCCTACTTGTTCAGTACTCAATCTTCAGGGCCCAAGTACAGTAATTGGCAAAGAGTAGGTATTTAGCCAACATTGGTTAAATGAACCGGTTGATGAATGAATACATGAAGGAGATGACATATCCATCCATCACGTTAGAGATGAAAGGAGTTTGGCTGATCTGAATGCAGTAGTGTCTACAACTCATTGATCACAGCCACTTAGATTTTTTGTTCTTTCTCCTCTCCTACTGCTTCACTTTACTAGCCTGAAAAAAAAAAAGAGTTAGTAATACTCCATGTTTTTAAGAATGTAGCTCATAAATTGTTAAGGTTTTTTAGAGAGACAATTAGGAATATAGATAGCTATCAAAAGTTAGATGAGGAAGTAAACTAAAAAAGTCAATAAACTGAAATATGTCAAACGTCCAATTTGTGACACCCTCAAATACCCTATATCAACTCAATTCAATTAAAATCAATACAACTATCTGGATTATTGAGGATTCCCCCCTCCAAAAAAAGTGTTTTCCTGGGTCTTTGTCAGATCAATTTGCCTGCATTTTTGTGAGCACTGCTCATTTGAATGTCAATTGTATGTGTGTTTCACATTTTAATTGCTGAGTCTGTCTCCACACTTAATCTTTTATTTGGGAATGGGCAGGCTTTTCCTCTATTACAGTTTAGCTACATTGTGGTTTTGTGGGCAGAGGTGCCCTGCTATCACCCTTACCTTCACCTCTACACCTGCCTCTACCAGTGGCCACAGAACAGTTTGGCAAATGTCCTAGATCTGATTGAGGAAAGTTGACTGATGGTTTCCCACGGATTAGCATTTAGTGATTTGCTCAATGTCACCGCAGCACATTGGTTGCTGGAAAAGAATAGAAATCTCTCAGCTCAGGTTCTTTAATTTTTAACACAACCACCATCCACACCACAACTTCCAATAAAGAAAAACAATTTTAAAAGGAGTCATAATCCCTCAAATCCAAACCAAATATTATCAATTACAGAAATATGGTAAGTCCTCTTGAGAATTTGAAGCCTATCCAATTTATCATGAAAAGGAAAATTTTAAAAATATTCCCACACAAGTGTACTGGATCTCAAAATTATTAGAACGTATTCATTGCACAGTGGCATTTGAGATAGAAAGAAGGCAAGGGATACAACTAATAAAAAGTAATATGACAACTCTCACTATGTAAATTCTAGACTGGTTCAAAATTGTCCTAAACTAGAAGTTAAACTGGCTTTCAAAATACAGAATGCATTAGAAAGCTAGAATATTTGAATTTTAGAGTCTGAAAAGACACTTCAGTTGGAGAAAAATACAAATGACTCCTGAATGCAGTTATTTATTCCTGGCTGTGCTTGATGACGCTCTAAAGGATATCATTCTGTCATTCTCATTTTGCTGCTATTCATATCCTGCTTTGAAAATATTTTCATTCAGATTTTGAGTTCTTGGTGGGTATGACTTTCACCCTTCCCTTTTTCTTGTCATTTGGAATTAGAAGGAGTGTGTACTAGAAGGTAAAGCGGAATGCAAATGGTCACTTAAGTAGGAGAAAATAGTTGAAAGTTGTTTGTTGTTTTTTCCTTAAGAAATAAATCAGCTAGGTGTTTATTTCAGACATGCTAATTAAATAAATAGAGACCATTCTTCCCTTCACATCGCCCACTTGGCATTAATAACCAGTGGACTTTAGGGATTCTGTTGGCTGTGCTATGTAGGGTTGAGTTAGCCAGGTTATGTGAAACTGGCACATTTTCCCCACACCAGAAAATACACATTTCCTTCCTGTTGTGTTTTGGGGGCCCCTCTGCAAGATCACAGAGATCCATGCCAAACTCTGACTAAACAGAGAACCTTTTGAAAGAAGGCAGTTGTGTTAAATTAAATTGTACAGCCATGAAGTCAAACGATTTTATCATCCTCCTCAAGGGAAGCTACTCGGCACAAGCATGAATGAACAATTCTCCTTCTGGAAAAGTACCTCCATCTTCATTATGAAAATCAAAGTTGAGGAAAAATGCAGACAGTGTTTTTTTTTTCCCCTGGTACATTAGCTACTTGTGTTTCCTCCTCTTATGCTTTGATGAGATAGAACCTAAAGCTAAAAGGGGTATGAAAACCCCTACGCGTCAGGATCCTCACCCCGTTTATAAGAGAAAAGAGTGGCAAGAATAGAAAGGGGAGCAAAGAGAACAGAACAATGCTTGTTAAAATCCTTCTCCCTACTTTACCATTCCTTGGCATTCAAATACTCAATGTTTAGGTGATGGACTCATTTATAACTGGGTAGAGTACTGATAAACAGATGTAAGGAATAATGTTTTTATTACTTCTTTAGGAAAGTTTGGCCTGAAATGTTAACAAAGAAAAGGAGCATTTTGCTTCATTCTCAGCCTGAACTCTCCTCAGACATGGAGATTCCTCTCTCTGAACTGTTCCTTAACATCACCAGCTTCTGAACGTCCAGTCCTGACTCCAGGGCACTTCAGGCCATCTTAGTATCCAAAGAGAGGCCCCAAAGTTGTTAAATGAGAAAGTCGACATTCAAGTGGACCTGGGTGGGGTGAAATGGCCTATGTCCCTTTCAGGAGGGGTAGAAGGAAGGGCATATGGAAAGGGAAGAGCGCAGCATAGAGGAAGGAGAAAGGACCGTGAGCCAAGCATTTGGGATTTACCACTATTCTAGTGATCATGGACCAGAGACCTTAGCAAGTCACTTGCTGTCTTTGTAAAAAGGTTTTACCATCACAAAGTGATGATAGTCAAAATTTTGCTCTCAGAATTCGGTGAGGTGAGGAACGCCTTGTGTATCTCTGGCTTTGACTTTGCATCTGGGCTTTCAGCAGAGCAGAGGGACACATTTCTTGGCTCTTGTCTTCCAGATCACTACATGCAGGTGCTGGTTTGTCAGCATGAATGCGTGAGGGAACTTGCCACCCGCCCTGGCCGCCTCTCGCCAATAGAGAACTTCCTCCCTCTGCACTACGATTACCTGCAGTTTGCCTACTACCGAGGTAAAGCATAGGGCCTCTGTGAAGACCTACCGGGATTGTGGTTCAGCGTTACAGCCATTGCATTCTTGTAATTCAGTGTCTGCTTTCCTCAGTTTATCATCAAAGCAATGAGGGTTTATGCATTTTCTGTCTCATCTCACATCCCTGCAGCTCTGGACAAGAAGAACAGAAGGTCAAACCACAAGTGGGAAAAGTATAGAATTTAATGCTGTGATGATTTTCTGAAAAATTATAATAAACTGACATGTTATATGGTTTCTAAACTTAATTTTTAACTTAATTTTAATAGATAACATATTCACAAGGTTTAAATACCAAATACTTTAAAAAGTTTCCCTCTCTTCCCTGTCCCCACAACCCAGTTTCATGCCCTACAACCCAGTTTCTTACTTATACTTCCAAAATTTTTTACAGAAACAACAAATATACACATAGTTTTATTTCCCTTTCTTTTACACAGAAAGTAGCATACTATTTACACTATTCTCTGCATTGTTTGCTTCACTTAATACATGTCAAATTCATTTTAGTAGGTTAGACCCATGAAATTACCATTTCGTTGGGTCAAAAAAGAGATTTTGGCAGTTTTATATGGTTCAACTTAACTGTATCGGTACATAGAGATCTTCCTTATTCATTTTTCTTTATATCTGCATATCACTGTACTATAATTTATTTCGTGTGTCTCCTAATTGATTTGCAATTGTATTGTTTTCAATCTTTTGCTATGACAGTCAACATTCAAATGGATAACATTTTACATATGTCATTTCACATCTGTACACAATATCTATAGGATCAATATCTAAAAGTACAATCACTGAGTCAAGTGGTTTATTCATTTGTAATTACGATAGATGTTGCCAAATTTTCCTCCATATGGAATACATTTTCCATTGCTTATCAACATATTATAAAATTTTTAGACATTCCCCAAATCTATCAGGTGAAAATAAATATCTAAATATAGTTTTAATTTCCACTCATCCTATACAGAGAGAGAGCTTGAGCATTTTTTCTGATGTTTAAAAGCAATTAATATAATTTAGATTGTTGAAATTGATCTTAGATATCACGTTGTCTACTGTTTTCAGTCTGTAAAGAAGCAACTTGCTTAAAGTCACCTAGCTTAGTGACCTATCATAATACTTGGTTCATTGTTGTTATTATTAATATTAATATTGCTCACTAGCTCCAGCATCAGGCTACCTCGTATAGAGGTCAGTAGTAAAGAAAATGTTTCCCTTTTAAGATAATAATAGGAAAATGTCTCAAGCCAACATTTGGAAGATACTTTGGCAAAGTCTCTCCCTTTCCAAAAGCAAAACATTACTCATCCTCCTGGCACTGATGGCAAACAATAGATTACGTACTCAAGTCATGAGCAGGGAATGCAAAGGAGAGAGCTGCTTTATTTTTATCATTATTTTTAAAAATCAGAGCCAATACATATATGTAGAGGAAATTTCTTTTAAAAGAAATCTAATATCGTGACCTATTTGGAAACAAAACATACCATCTTTAAAAATTCCTCTTATAATAGCTAAGTATTTCTGTAACAGAGAGTTCATAGCTGAAACATCCTTGTTAGTTCCTTTTGGTAGTTTGCTACTGTTGGAGTTGCTGTAGTTGTATAGTGAGGGGCTAAAAGAGGATCCTCCAGAACATGTGGGGCTCTATGAAGGACTTTGCATGAAAGTGCCAATTTTCCACTAACTTTGCAGCAATGAGAAATAACATTTTACAATCGCTTATATTACTCATACGTTATGTACAAAGTGGAACATCATTGTTGTAGAAGATCATCCTTAGGATATTTACTTAACTCAAACTGAGTACAAAAATGTTTTATCTGTATTAAATACTGAAAGTTGTCAACAAACATCTTCAGGTAGAAACTTTTGATATTTTATGTAAAACAACTGGCACCAAAGCAGACTACAGGTAATACCTTTCGAATACCTGAAATCATGTCCCTCCTTTACCTAAGTTTACCCGTTTAGCAATTTGTCTTCCCTCTTACTCACGTTTGATGCTAACCTCTGCAGACATGTTGAAGTCTCTCCTTAAACTCCTTTGGGTGGACCTAAGCTGACTCTAATGCTGCAACTCCTTGGTTTTTCAGTTGGTGAATACGCAAAAGCCTTGGAGTGTGCCAAAGCCTATCTTCTGTGCCACCCTGATGATGACGATGTCTTAGACAACGTAGATTACTATGAGAGTCTGTTGGATGACAGCATTGACTCAGCATCCATTGAGGCCAGAGAGGTGAGACTGAGAAGTTCCGAGAAGAAACTATCCTGTGTGTGCTCTGGGAGAACAGATAAAAATATAATGTGGATCTTAAAGATATCCAACAATTTTGCAAAGGTTCTGGAACTCAGTTCTTTCAAACTTTAATTATTCATGCCAGAAGCATATTTTTCTCATACTTGCTAGCTTGTGAAAATCTGTTGAGATAGGGACATTTTTTGCAGCTCTGAATATTTCCGTTAGCTCATTTGTCACTATCCAATGAGAAATATTTCTACTTGAACATTTATCATAGCTCTTACCTATTATTTAAATAAAATTTTTCCCTCGTTTTCTTTTCTCTAGGATTTGACAATGTTTGTGAAACGTCATAAACTGGAATCTGAACTGATAAAATCAGCTGCAGAGGGGCTGGGATTTTCATACACTGAACCGGTAAGAGCAAAGAGCAGAGAGAAAATGTTTATTAAACAGACTATTCAGTGGAATTCTTATTTATGTTTTTATTACCCACACTTATTTGTTGAAGATTGTAATGCCCTCCTTGAGGTAAAAATTGGGCGCATGGAGGTATTTACTCAATAGATGTGATGAACTGTAAGACACATTAGTATACGTCTATATCACTGAGATCCAAAGTCAAAAGCAAATATATTTGGTAGAAGTATTTTGTATATGATTCATTTGCCCTAAGATTGTTTTATTTTCTCAAGTTCTGGGTGTGACACTTTATATTTTTCTCTTAATGCTTGTTTATTACCTAAACCTTTAAGAGACTTCAGAAAGAACACCATTAGTCGCAATCCTACCTCCCCTCGGGCTGGCTTTACTCTACTTTTCCATGTTGTCTTCTTATCATTGTTTGTATGAAGACACATCTTTTTCAGACCTAGTACTATGGTATAAGTAGATTTGTGTTCTGATTTTTATTTAAGAAGGTATAATAAGCAATTTCTATATTTGTATTGCTTTAAAAATTATTTTAGCTGCATATATAGAATTGATGTACAATAGATAAATTAATTCTTCTCCTGCTGCTAGACATTTGAATTATTTCTGACTATTCTATTGTATTTAATGCATTAAGCATTTTTCTCTCTATTGAACTATATTATTCCTTAGAATGCACCTCCAGGAGTGGGATTTTTCTGTCATCAAAGGATATGAGGTTTTAAAGTTTCTGAACCTAAATTGCCTTCCTCACAGATTTCTCTGATACCATTATTGCTCCTAGTAATGCATAAAAGTACCAGTTTACCACAAATTTCTCAGCAATAAAAAATAACCTTTAAAAATCTCTTGTATTACTCATATGTTATGTACAAAAATGATACATCATTGTTGTTTTAACTTGTATTCCTTTGATGACCAGCAAAATAAGCCTTTTCACATATTGCTAATAATTTTTTCTTTTCTTTGTATTACCTGGGCATGGGTTTTGTTCATTTATCCATTGGTTACTATTAATATGTAAGTTTTTTGTATAATGTAAATGACATTATGTACATGTTTGTAAAATCATTATAATCATTGTAATATATCCTATTTGCAACACTTTTTTTTATTTATTTCAAGTCATTTTAGAAATTAGGTTAATTTTAATGTAATATTTCTAATGTAACATTTCTATCATATTTGTATCTAATCCTAATTATTTTTAAAAAATTGCATTACCTTAAGTGACCTTAGAAAATATCACTTACTTACTTCATGACCTGTATAGATGATTACTCAAGCTAAACATTTTTTGTTTGCTTATTTTATTCATAAAACATAAAGGAGTTGGACTCAATGATCTTTCAAATATCTTTGTGCCATCAAATTCTAATTCATTTTTTTGGACAAAAAAATGGAATCTCAAGCTAATTACATATTATTTTTTAACCCATTTGTGCTCTATGTTTTCTTTATCAAACTTGCATCAACTTTAGCCTTCCTTTTTATTAATTTTTTAAATAAAAATATATTATATTTTTATATGACATGCAAGTTTCCTAATATTTCAGGTCTTTTGAATGTTTTGCATATATTTTATTTTATTTTATTTTGCCTTATTTCTGTAAATGATATTTCAGTGACAAAATTAGTGTTTTCTTTTTAATTTAAAACAGAATTATTGGATCAGACATGGAGGACGACATGATGAGAATCGGTAAGTCCTCCACTTAGAACACAAACTGTTTAGTCTTTTTTTTTTTTTTTTTTTTTTAACAGAGTCTCACTCTGTTGCCCTGGCTAGAGTGAGTGCCGTGGCGTCAGCCCAGCTCACAGCAACCTCAAACTCCTGGGCTCAAGTGATCCTACTCCTCCAGCCTCCCGAGTAGCTGGGACTACAGACATGCGCCACCATGCCCAGCTAATTTTTTTTTCTATATATTTTTAGTTGGCCGATTAATTTCTTTCTAATTTTAGTAGAAGCAGGGTCTCGCTCAGGCTGGTCTCAAACTCCTGAGCTCAAACAATCCGCCCGCCTCGGCCTCCCAGAGAGCTAGGATTACAGGCGTGAGCCACCGCACCCGGCCTGCACAAACTGTTTATTCTTAATGAGAAGTAATACTTAGAGTCATAACCTCTTATAAGGAACTTAACTCTATGAAATAGGCAAGAAAATATAATTATTAATGAAAGAGTTCTGAGCTGTAAACCAGGAGCTCTACATCCTGGTCCCAGTTCTTCCTGTCACTTTTGTATGATACTGAGTGACGTATCTTCTTCTGTCTGGATCTCATGTTTTTTTCCTGAAAGGAAAGGGTTGAGTCAGGTGATATTTGAGTGCTGACATTCTGTGATTGCAAATCTGAGTAAGTTGGATGCTGTTTTTGATTTATTAATAGAAACTATGAAATGCTCCTTTTGATGGTAAATTCCCTTACCATATTTATTTGAAATTAAGAAGTTCAGAAAATTTTACTGCAAGATGAGGTATTAGGTGTCAATAACTCAATCAGAAATGAAGAGAACTCCTTTTCTAAATGATAGAAGTCAATTTACATGTTTTGAAGAACTCAAACTCATAAAACATTTGAATTACATGTTTGAGATCACATGGTCCAGACTATTCATTTTCAAATCATGAAAATGAGGCCCTGACAAGGCAAGCAACTTGCTTAGAGTCCTATTACAAGGGAATGACAAATCCAGATCTTCTTATTCAGGATCTTGAGGTCTTTCACTAGGCTTCAAGGACTCAACTCTTGAGTGGCCTAAAATGATTGCAAGACATCCAAGAATGTCTATGCACATTTGGATTTCTTAAATCTGTACATGTTGAAAATAACAGCCTGCTCTCATTTGTGTGTTTGCAAAATTTGACACAAACCCATGTATTCTTTCTCAGAATAGTCAGTAACCATTACATTAAAATGTAATTTATTTCAGTTCAACCATTGTTCAGTGAGACACCCCATGGTCAAGGCAGAATAAGATACTCTGAGCATTATAGAGATTCACATGAAAATTGTTGTCCTGCTCTTTTGGGAATAAAGTCTAATCTGAAGGGGATTAAGTTATGGATATAACTAACTGTAATAAAGGTTGTTAAGAAGATTTAGAGGAGTGAAATAGAACATACTCACTGAGGAAATAGAGAAGAACTTCATAGAGGCAATGACATTTAATTTGATCTTGAAAGATGGGTGGACTTATGTACAGCAAAAATAAACACTATATAATCACAGACTACTTAGGTAAAATATTCTTTGCCTTTGAATATCTTTATTCAATGTGAAATTGCCATTTCAACTTTTTTGAATGGGCAGGGTCCCTTCAGGAGTGAACGTGGAGGGGACAGAAGTTCATGGATTATCAATGGGAAAAAAGTTATCACTCAAGATAGATCGAGACCTAAGAGAGGGTAAGTACTTGTGCATTTTAACTCCATAAAGGAAAAGAAAGGGAGGAGAGAGCTTGACCAGTTCTTATCCAGATCAAAGCAGAATCTACTTTCTTTGGAAAATAAAGATAGAACTAAACACTATAATTCATAATAGTCTGAGAGCAAGGCTTATAAACAAGAATATCTTAGATTTGTATATTGTTACCTTTGGTTTCCATCAAAAGTACTTCAAAATTCACTCACTCATCTCTTTCCTAAGGAACACTGTTAGTTAGGCAGAGACTGTATGGTCATCTCCATTCTCAGAATACCTGAGGTTTAGCAAGGTCATAAGACTTACTTCTGTTGCATAGTGAGTCCTAGATAGTGTGGGACAGACTACATAGTGGAGCAACCTGGGAAGGAGACAGGTCACATGGGATAGATGCTTAGATTAACTAACCTACTGTCATAGATCTGAGCAGGGCTTTACGAGAAAGTAAAATAAAGATGGATTCGACAGGGGTGTGGAGGAAGCCGTTCTAGTGAGTAAAACAAACAGAGCAAAGGCACAAAGATGGAGCAAACAGAACATTATGCGCCCACAGATTTAAGATCAAAATTAGTGGAGATGCAGGTGGAGTATTGCCAAAAATTGTTTTTAAATAAAGCCAAACATTGCTATAATAATAAACTATTAGCAATAGTAGTACTAACAGCAGTAGTAATTATTAACAATTATGATTATTTCTGTATGTTTTACAATTTTCCCCCAATTTTACACACCATTTATTTTAATGCTAGTATTGTCTTATGTAAGAAGATTTAGTGACTTCTCCAAAAGTCTCGCAGCTCATAACAGGTTGAGCAGACATTTGAACCTAGACTTTTGGAATCCTATTTGCTCTTCTTCACCTGCTGCATAAAACAGAAGGATCTAGACATGTAAAATATATACTTTATTGATTAAATCATCGCAACATAAAAAGAAGCTTTCAAACACCCGCATTGAGAAGAAGTGCAGTACTTTTTTTTCCCCCCAAGAGACCTTGTCAGCACATTCCTCTAGCTGATTTGAAAACTTCTGGCTCTCTACACCTCTTACATTTCCCATCCATTTCCTTTCTTAGCTTCCAAGTCAGTTTGAAGCAGTAAACAGAATAATATGCTCATCTAATCTGACCTGGGCCTCGGTTTGTAGCCACAAAGCCTAAGCTGTTTTACAAGTGCCAGAGAGCCATGGTCAGCCAGAGTTCATGTTGCTTTTTAAGCTGAGAAATCACCCAGGAAGTTCATGCCAATAAGACAGCACTTTGCTGTAATGTTTGGGAAACTCCAGGAAAGTTGCCAAATTTCAAAGCATTTTTTTTTTCCTGGCTACCAGGGAATCTGATGTCTAGCAACTGACTAGGAAGGCTAATGGGAAGAGTAGAACAGAAGACTATATGTGACAAAGAATGGTTATGATTCTTTGGGTTACCAAAATCTACTATTTCCGCAGAATTTTCTTAGTTGAATTGGCTAATGGATCTTAGGATGTTCCCTGAGAACCTACCAGTCTAAAGGAAAAAACAGATAGTTTTTACCTGCTATACTCTCACACTCACTACAGAAAACTTCTGTGGCCAGATGTGTGTGGGGGGAATTCTCCACACATCAAGCAATTCTCCAACAGATACCAACTGGAGGTCAAATAATTCAATTCAATTCTGACACTATCTACCAGGAAATTAGTGTCATGTCTCACAGATTAAGGGCTCAGCCCACAAGACTGCCCCCAGTGCAGAGGCCAATTTGCAAATACAGCTTGTCACCTATACTTTGGACCAACCTCCTGACCCACTGGATACAAACCTGAGTTCCCACAACCCCATCTTTGGATTAGATTAATTTGTTAGAATGGTTCAAAGAACTCAGGAATACACTTAAGTTTACTGTTTTTTTTATCCAGAATATTATAAAAGATACAGATGAAACCCCAGATGAAGAGGTACATATGGCCATGTATGGGGTGGGGGCTGCTATGCCCTACCCAGGCAAACCACCTTCCCAGCATCTACACATGCACAACAACCTGGAACTTCATAAAATCTTGTTGTTTAAGAGTTTTTATAAAACATAATCTCCAACCCCCAGCGCAACCCCACACCCAGAGGTCCATAGGTGAGGCTGAAAGTTTTACTTCTCTAATCACTTGATCTTTCTGGTGACCAGCATGATCCTGGATCTATTTAGGGGCCCTACCCTAAGTCACCTCATTAGCATAAACTTAAGTATGATCAAAAGAGGCCCATTATAAATAGCAAAAGACACTCCTATCACCCAAGAAATGGCAAGGGTTATAGGGGTTCCGTGAGAAGAACCAGGAACAAAAAGCAAACATGTTTCTTATTGCACTACAACTGGAAGGACGTCCGTCCAGTCATCAGAGATATAAATAGGATCTAAATTAAGAACAACGGTAGAACAAGGCCAGATTCTCAACCAGAAAATGCTTTCAAATCTTAGTCTTGCTGAAAGCAGATGTCAGGGAGGCAAGGACTCATGCATCACAAAATAAAGTATATTTCAGCTTTTCTCATCTTCCGCAAAGAGATTGTCATCTACTGTGGTTACCTCACAGTATTTATTATTATAGTATTCAGACTGGACAGCTCCTAAGCATTAAGATGGGAGTGACCTCAGCTGCATCCCACAGGGACTCTAGTCAATGGACCAGGCATGGTAGCTTACTAAAAACATTTCTCTCACTTGTCCAGTCTCCTGTCAAACCACCAGTTCTCCAAAGGTCGTGCTACATAATGGTTCCAGAGCCAGTGGGGGTATAGCAGAAATAACACTGAACTTGGAATCAGGAGACTTAGTTTTGGGGATTTTCTTAGTCTGATGTGCTGCACAGTAAAGAAGAACTAGAGACTCAATCTTTCTGGGCCCTGTGATCTTTATCTGTAAAAGAAGGATAATAACTTTTTTGAGATGGTGACCATAAAAGGTTTTTGTAAACTGGAAAGGGCTTGTTAGTTTGCACAGCCCCATCATGCCTTTTATGATGCTATGATATTTTTGGCAAAATGATTCTTCTTGCCATGAGCCACAGGCAGTGAGCACAAAAGAGTACTTTTCTAGATGAGCCCTCTGTCACAACTAGAGAATCAGAGCCAGGCACATACTTTATGAATGAGAGAAGAACTAAGTTGTTTAACTAAATCTTCTTGAGCTGTGGTTCAAAATTGGCTGAAGCCATCAAATCAGGCCCCAGGAACCACAACTTATTGGACTACATTTTTATTTTCCTTTTAATGATTTCCTCTGTCTGATGTGCTACTAGTCATCTGTAGGCTGGTTGACTTGTCTTTTGAATGACAGGGTTTATTTTTTCCTTTTTATTTTTTTTCTTTTGGTTAGTGGATGAGTGATTGGTTGTTCTGTTAAATATATGTGTAGGAAATCTCTGTATGAAACTCTATACTTGTTAATAGTTACATTAGGTACCTGAAAGGCAGATTTCTAATAGAGATTCTCCCTGTACCTGTTAAGATTCAGATATTTAAGATGCCATGTTGTGCTCTTCATTTACCTGATCTTCTCATGCTACTTGTGGCAGAGTTAGGGGAATTGTCAATGTTCTAGTAGCCCTCTTTTAAACATGGTCCATTATGCCATATGCTTATTAAAATGCTTCCATCAGAACTTAGTACAGCATTCTAGGTATAGTTTATTATTTCAATAATAATGATAACAATAACAACAACACTTACACAAAACTTACAAGTGGTAGTCGTTTTTCTAAATGTTTTACTTTTACTACCTTTAAAAATCCTATTTTGAAAATAAGCTGACTATATTTATGGTAACACACCTTCAATATAAAAAATGAGGAAAACTTGGTAAATTATAAACCAGCAGTTCACTAAATCCCTCCTCCCTCTGCCATTTCTATTTGCATTTTATATTAGCAAATGCTTTTCAGTGAACCTACAAGTGTCTTATCTTTCTTGTTGAAGAATGCTTATATTGATATTTCTAAATTGGAGTAGAGTATGTTGTTCACTTTTCCAAATATTTGAGGGAAGGCCTACCTCAATTTGACTATGAACCTGAATCAGCTACAAAGAGCAACATTTCCAAAACTGCGTTCCATGCTACGAGGTTCTATGGAAGGAAGGATATTCTTTTTTATTGCTGTATAAAAAATTAGCACAAATATACCAGCTTACGGCAACATCCTTTTATTATCGCACAGTTTCTGCAGGTCAGGGATCTGGGGACAACTTAACTGAGGCCATTGCTTCAGTGTCTCTCGCAAGGCTTCGATTAAGTTGTTGACCAGGGCTGAGGTCTCTTCTGAGTCTTGACTTCTTCCATGTTAGATGGCTGAATTCAGCTTCTAAAAGGTTGTTAGACTACCATCCTTCAGTTCCTTGTTGGTTGTTGGCCAGAGGATGCCCTCAATTCCTTGCCATGTGAGCCTCTCCAATACAGCCACTTGCTTCATCAAAGCATATAAGCTGAAAAAGCAATAGACTGAGTCTACTATCAAGATAGAAATTGTAACTTTTTATAACATAATCACAGAAGTGACATCTTACCACCTTTGCCATGTTCTACTGATCAGAAGCAAATTCAAGGTCCCATCCATACTTGTAGGAAGCAGATTACACAAGGGTATAAATACCAGGAGAAGGTGATCACTGGGGGCCACCTTAGAGTCTCTCTGCCATAGGAAGGAAGGAAGGACAGAAGAAGGAAAGAGAGAAGGGAGGGAGGAAGGGAGTGAGGAAAGGGGGAAGGAAGGAAGAAGAGAACAAGGGAGGAAGAGTGGGTATCGTGTCCAATTAAAGTTAAGAACTGCTACCTATTATGTCACTGCTTAGGGGACTCATAAGCCCTCCTCACATATTAAAAGTTTTAAGAAGTCTTCTTATAGTTTACTTAATCCAGTACTTCCAAAAATCTGTTCAGTGTAGCAAAATTTGATAAACATTGAACTGTAGAAAAAACATTTATAGTGTTCTATTCAACCAAAAGATGAGATACTGAAATTGGAACTTGAGGATATAATCTTGGAATCCAAGAAATTCTGTATTTGTAAATTTTGATAACAGTTTAGAAAATTAAAAGAGGAAATTAGTGGACCATCTGAATGACCACTTGATAGTCAGGTACTGCCATGAGATTTCATATCTCAATGAGTATGGGTACAGTTATGGTCATACTGGCACCCGTTGATAATATTTCGATGGTTAAACACTAATAAAAAATTAAATAGGATGAATTTATAAATAATGTATTAGGACCAGATGAAGGCAAAAATTCATCATGGTGCACTAAAATTTTGTAGTCTTTTAAATAGAGAAAAGTTGTGGTAGAATAGCAATTTCACCAAAAGTACTGTAAAGAATGCTAGCTCAAAAGAACTTAGTCCAGATCCATTAGTAGGATATTCCTATCGAATGTGGCTTTTTATTTTCATACAGTAGCATTAACCACTTCATTAATTTTGTTAATTTGACTTTAGTTGGTTTTATGGTCTTGTTTTCATTTAATCTTATAAATTGTTTTTGGTATTATAGTTGTATAAAACTATAAAAATAAGTAATGCATACTATATGAAAGTAAAATTACAATAAAAATAATTTGTCAGTACTGGAGCTCCTTAGAGGGGGAAAAAACCTTTTGCTTTAACAGATAACCATATATTACTCTAGATTGAGAAACACTGTCTCATTCTTTTAATATTTCATTAATCATAGGCTGTAGTGAATCTTTTTTCCTGACTAGACTAAAGACTTAGTGCTTTTCCCAAGGTTAACTAATCCATTTTATAAAGATTTCAATTGTCTCTTCTTCCTAACGGATGTGTGTCAGACCAACATGTTGGTGACCTTTGCTAGACTGGGTGCGGGGAGGGAGGAGCTGTGTGCCTTTCCCACTCCCAGTCCTTTTTTGGTGAGCCGGTGCTATGGACAGGTGCATATTAGGAACCTTATGGGTATAAACAGCACCGTTTTCTTTTCTGTTCAGTTTTCTGGCTCAAGATGTTTGCATTCTGCTACATCTGAAGATTTCCTCAACATCCGAGGCTCTGTCCTTCAATCCTACTCTATGAGGAAAGGGTGTTGTCAGGTCTGGATTTTGTAATTTCACAACCTAAAATGTGACCCCAAAGCATCACCCTCTGAAGAGCCTACATGGGGCTAATTTTGTAAAGCTAATTTCTCCAGGGAGAGAGCTGGCGCCTAGAGGAAACCCTCCTGTGCAGAAAAAGGAACACAAAATAATCCTCCTGTGCAGAGAAAAACTCCAAAAGCAAGACCACTTATAGTCAGTCAGGCAGTAGGAAGAAGACTGGAGAAGGAGTCAGGTGACTTGCATGTGACTACCTGAATCACCTGGTGAAGGCGTTGCTCTAGATACCAGTGAAACTGAGGTGTGTACTTCACACCTGGGAAACACAAACATGTAGTCAAATATTTGCCTGTGTTGTTGTAATAGAGGTATAAATGAGAGAGTGCAGCAAAGGGTAAGTCTTCTCAGAGGAGAATCCTATGAGATACCCATCTACTTTTCAGGATCATCATTGGAATCAAATGTAAAATTAGTTTATCCATCCCCAAAATACCATGCAGATGTAAAAAGTTTTATGAATTTATGGGGAAACCTGGTAGTCAGCCATCTGTCTCTTTTTCCTGAACCCCTAATATGTTTTCCAAGCTTCCTAATTTGTGATTTGTCTTTGCATTCCTAAATATTGATGAGGAAACTGACTCTGTCAAACTGCATGTTGAAAGCTGTGGGGTGCTTGTGCTTCCCTCCTTGGGGACAGAAGTAACAGGGAAGACAACGTGCTGTGACCTTTCAGGTGGTCCTCTTCTCTACGAGAACATCACGTTTGTCTACAACTCAGAGCAGCTGAACGGGACTCAGAGGGTTCTCCTGGATAACGTCCTGTCAGAAGAACAGTGCCGGGAGCTCCACAGTGTGGCCAGTGTGAGTGCCGGAGCGGGAGGGGAGCCAGATGGGGATGGCCTGGCATGAGCCTGGGGGTGCTTTGGTTCTGGTCTCATCCGGAGTCAGGGAACAAGGCCTGAAATCTCAGCTTCTTTAGGAAAAGGACGTTGATTGTCATGGAGGCACTTCCATAGCCTTTGTGTTGGGATGATTTTGGTTTTTCCAGGTGGGATCTGGAATAGCTAATGGCTTAATTCCTAGGATGACAGCTATCCAGCATGTGCCCTGCCTGTCATATAAAGTCACTGGGAAAAGCTTTTAATTTAATCAATAATCAACCAATATATCAATCATTTTACATTCTATTCATTTCCGTAAAATGTGACAATATTTTATAGTAAAAATGTAGAATGAAGATAAATAAAGATATCTTTTTACACATTGCAAATATGTGGAAACAACCCAAGTGTCCATCAATACATGAGTGGATTAATAAAACATGGTATATGTATACTATGGAATACTACTCAACTACAAAAACAATGGTGATCTAGCAACTTTTACATAATTCTGGATAGAGCTTGAGCCCATCCTTCGAAGTGAGGTATCACAAGAATGGAAAAATAAGTACCACATGTACTCGCCATCAAATTGGTACTAACTGATCAACACTAAGGTGCTCACGTG